TTTGCCACACTTATTTCATATAAAAATATCAGCCCATATGTTGCAAAAACAACTTAGCAATTAGCTGGCTTATCACGATCGTGTTATAAAAAATATTTTTTTTATAATAATTATAGTCACAGAAATAAATATACAAAAACTTCAACAGATATTCCCAGATATTTTGGTTTTTTAAATACATAAGAAAACTTGAGAATGTTGTGAGAATTAAATAGTTAATTCCTAAATAATTTAAAGGTCAACTTTTAAATACATTGTCACCTTTTAAAATTTAAATTTTAGAATGTATGTATATGTATTGTTTACAGTTTACACATAAGTTTAAATACTCGTAGTTTAAGTTTAAACAGTTGCGTAGAACACAGAAAAGATGCAAGTAACATGTGTCCTTAGGCCGTATAGCCAAGATGGTTGGTATATTCATTAATATACATTCTTTATTATACCACACTAGAAGCATGAAGAAGTCACGTGGTATGACTTGTTTATGCTTCTAGTGTAATAAAGAATGTATAGTAATAAATATACAAACAACCTTTATGGCCTTTCCAAATGTGTGCCAACTAACGTCAATCAACGGATTCAACTCGGCTGGGCAGCGTTCGGGAAATTACGACACATCTTCTCGTCAGGTATACCTCAATCTCTGAAAACTAAAGTGTATAACCAGTGCGTGTTGCCAGTGATGACTTACGGATCTGAGACGTGGTCCTTCACCGCTGGCCGTATGAGGACGCTCAAGGTCGCTCAGCGAGCTATGGAGAGGGCTATGCTCGGGGTTTCACTGCGTGATAGACTCAGAAATGAGGATATCCGCAGTGAAACCAGAGTGACCGACATAGCCCAACGGATTAGTAAGCTGAAGTGGCAATGGGCCGGCCATATAGCTCGAAGAACCGATAACCGATGGGGAAGAAAGGTTCTCGAGTGGCAGCCTCGTACCGGTAGGCGTAGTGTAGTGCGACCCCCCACTAGATGGAGTGACGACCTGGTAAGACATGCAGGAAGTCGATGGATGCAGGTGGCTCAGGACCGTGCTTTGTGGCATTACTTGGGGGAGGCCTATGTTCAGCAGTGGACTTGTGATGGGCTTTAATGATAATGATGATTGATGATGATGATGATGATAACGTACAATTCATGGGATTTAAGGATTAGTGAGGGCAGAACACAAACACCACAATGATTAAAACGAACTATTTTTTTTTGATCTCCAACTACACATCCAGTCGGAAACGTGGAACATTGAGTCTCACTTATAAAAAAGTAATATTAGCTACGCCACAACACCACCAAGTTCGAAACACCTCGCTTAAACTTCTGAAATAACTTGTAAATTTCTTGTAAATTATATTCTCAAGGACAGCAACAACTTTCGAATATTAATAGAAAAAGAGACAACAGCCAGAACAGAATTTTATATTATTGACTTTATGAAAAAATAAATTATTATAAATTATACCACATAGTTAATATTATCCTTAGTTCACACAAGATCACAAAGTTAATATTTGTCGGCTCTAATGCGCTACCGCAGTAATAGCTAAGAGTTTTCTTGCAGCACTGTGGGCTCGCAAATCGGAATCTCGCACAAAATAAGTGGCCCTATGGTCTAGAAAGGTGATAGAGCCATGCTGCAGCTATATTATAGTTGTAGTACGAATGAACCGGGTGGGACTACGCTCTTACAGAATACCAGCTTAAAATAGCAGTTTGATGCTGCGGTGTTTCGTATGGTGAGTGTAGAGAACCGGAGACCTTTTTCACTGGAAACAAGGCATTCCATCTTAGTCCTCAGGGGTGACAACGCATTGCATTTTTATTCTTAAATCGAGGACAAACGCACATATATATGGGCCACAGCATCTACTTACCGTCAGGTTAACTATGTGCTCGATTGTCACCCTTATTCTATGAAAACAATCCGAGTCTGGATATTTGTCAATCAGCAATTTATGCATGTAAAACGTTTCCACAATATGTGGTAACGTTTTTAATGAAAATAGAATTGAAAATAAACTAATTCTATCATTACATTTTCGATAACTCAAAAAGCTGGAAAGAATATTTTTAAGCACTCGTCAAAATATTTAAAAAACAAAGCAAAGAACACACCATGTACAATCTTGGCTTTAAGTTGTCCCACATTATGTATGTATGTGATAACTGAATTAACACATTTACGATCCGGTATGACGACAGGTAATATCTCTTATCATACCAGATAGTACTTTAAAACGAAACGCAAAGACATCGTATATAATGATACTCGAATTATATTGTCTTCGTACTTCTCGCATTTAGTAGAGTTTAGAACATACAATCACGTATTTGTCCTTTAAAACCAACGCAATTCTACATAATATATATACTATTTGACAGCCTCAGACCAACAAAAAATGATAGACCCGCCAAAACCATGATTCTTGACACGCACTCACGCACAATTTTCAGCCCGTAAAAGTCCAACGTTAGACGCACACATATGCAGGTAAAACCATATTATTAGTTGTAGGTAAATTATATAAGACTAGCGATCCACCCCGGCTTCGCACGGGTGATTTCTAGATCTCGACAACAGCGCTACCTACCGGGTCCAAATGTAAATCTTAACTATCTAGGTACCCATTCAAACCCACCAAAAAATCATCAAATCTGTCGAGCCGTTTTTGAGTTTTAGTGAGACTAAGGGACTGCAGTTTATTTATATAAATTGATACATTAGACTTTATCGTTGGTCTAATGGTTTTAGTAGTACGACTGCTGATTATGAGGTCCCGGGTTCGTATCCCGGGTCAGGCAAAAAAATAAATTCTTGAGTTTTTCCTTCAAGAAGTTCTCAGTAGCTGCCCGAAGTCAGGAAGTTCATCACGAACCGCTGTCAACAAACGGTACAGTAACCCACGACGGAGGCCGGAGTGAGTCAAAGTGTATTTGTATTTACGAGTAGTAAATACAAATACTCGTAGTAACATATTTCATTACAAAGCTGCGCTAACACCAAAAATTACGGAATTTCTCAGCCGAAAAAATTTATTTTAACTAAACAAAACAAAATTAAATCGCCATTTATATTCCATGACTTCCCACATGATATATGAAGAGATTAAAATATAGATTGAGTTGAACAATTGCTATTTTTAAAAGTTATCGTGTTTACTCACAGAAATCGTAATAATTATTACTATTTCTGTGTTTACGCCTCCATGCGGACTCAATAAATCTACACCATAAGCATTTTTTATGTAGAAATAGAATTAACCGATTTAAAAAAATAAGTTCAACAATCATTTACCTTTCTGACAGTGTGCTTTTTATATCATTTATATGTTCCATATGATTGTTAGATACGATAAAACGTCTAATTCTTGATTTTTAGTCTCTAGTAGAACATCCCTACGCGCTTTGCGCTTAAGGCATGCAATATTTCAAACTTATTAATGGCGATGCCATACAATTTTCAACGAAACATATATTTTCAAATAATCGCAAGCTATCCGGTAACGTTTTGGCTAATGGAAATCCATTACATCCATACGATACGTGCCGGACGTATCGTAAGAGACAACTACTTTAAAACTTTATGAGATTCTAATTACCTAATTGATATTTGATATTATTACATAGAAATAAGTCGGTCGGGTATCACTATTTGTTTACAAAATATTTGAGGCCTAAATTACATATAAGTACGCACGTACATCATACAAACATACTACTGTAAGAGATCAAACTCAAATTCCAGAAAAATTTAACAATATAAAAAACAAATAAATTTATTTTATATCCTTCTTTACCAGCCTATTACATCAACGATCAATTTCAGTGAAAACCACTACTTTTATATTACGACAAACTACTTTTTGTACCTAAAAATATTATTTCACTACTTATCTTTGGCATTCCCTTTGTCTCTACATAAAGAGAAGAGAATTCATTAAAATGATACTTTTAACTTCATAACAACTTTTAAATCCTTAAGAACAACCATTTTTTTTTAACTTTAATAGCTCTTAACATAAAAAATACGATTTATACAATAAAAAAACGAGTATGCTTATGTCCACACGACTGAAGTAAAACTTCTTTAGCTCCACCTGTATATATATATATATATATATATATATATATATATATATATATATATATATATACCCGAAAATGCACAAAACATGAACTTTAAAAATGAATTTACAATTTTATTCACTTTAAACGTAGAATATTTAATGTATTGAACAAAATATTAATTCATAAAATTGTTCAAAACGAATAACTGACTATGAGAGAAAGAGAGAAAGAAAATGTGCGCGCGCACTGCTCTCTCTTGCTTATATCAGCTTCGCTGCCGGCCTGACTATGGGGGTGGTTTGAGAAAATCCAAATTGTTTTTTTTATAATATGCGTTCGGCACATACCTAAAGAATATTTCAATAAATGTTTGACTATTATTATCATGTTTTACTATGAAGAAAAAACAAAATTAATATTCCCGCAAATATGCGGGCCCGGCACTGGGGTTGAAATTTTCTATTCTAGTGCCGGGCCCGCAATTTAGCGGAGTGGCTTATTTTATGTATAATCGTATATTTATGTCATTTGGACACGACATTAATGTCCTTTTTCTTAATTCTAATACTCTTGAGAACAATAACTAATTTTTCACATAGTAAGCTTACAAAAATACAGTAAAAATTAAACACAGTAAAAAAAAACAGTTGAACAAAAAAACTTCTTCTTCAGCTTCTAACACAAAATAAAAATTCTAAAAATATCCTAATGAGATTATAAACAGAGCTGTAATATAATCCACAGCTATGATGTCAAAATAAAATAAAGTCTAGATGGACAAATGGAATTCGTCAAAACACTCAAAGCACAGACCAGGTTTGTCAATGCAAGTTTCGCAATGCCACATAGAGTCTCTCCGTATTTTTTGAGATTTTGAGCACATGCGGCACATCTTGCGCTTGATGTTTCCTTTGGAATTTCTCTCAGTTATTTTACTGATTTTGTGTGGCACTTCTCTGCTCGTTTTCGCTCTGCTTGGGCCGGTTGGAACAGACACTGCAGTATTTTTTTTCAGGTAAAAGCTCATTTATCACAGCTAAGCGATAATCGTAGAGTGTCATTTTAGGTTTTCCAGAATATTTGTTGTACATTTTATAAGAGTTTATAAATAGTAGTTGAAAGGTGTGGATGGCTAACTTGAGATACCAGCGAAGAGTTTTTCTTTCGCACGGATAAAATGCGAGCAGTTGGTCTTGTCGGTCAACTCCTGACATAAACTCATTATATTTGGCAATAGTTGCAGGTTTTTCATTAATTTGGCCACGCTTATTAGCAACTGGTATCCTTATATCGTCATATTCCGTGGTGACGTACATCACTGGGCGCTTATCTTTCCATTTTCCGATGTGCACACATTCTCGAAACCTTGAAATGTTATCGCCTTTTTTTAGCGTTTTTTGAACCACATCCTTTGGATTTTCTTTCAAATCCTTTCTTAAAGTTCCACTACAGTAAGTCTTATTATGTAAAAGACGTTTAGCCAAGTGGAAACTATTATAATAGTTATCCATATATAATGAGTGTCCATTGTGAAGTTTCTCCTCCATCAATTGCATTACAACCTTTTCGGCGTGCCCTTTTCCAGCAACATCATGGTCTTGGCTCCCAGCATATACTCGAAACTTCAAAATGAGACCATCAGGTTCAGTCAACATGTATAGTTTGGTACCATACTTATGGCGCTTGGTTTTTACATACTGCTAAATCTCAGTCGCCCTCTCCACAGAACCATGCTCTCATCCAACGACAGCTCTTTGCCAGGATAATAGCATGTGTTCATTTTTTGGTTGAAATAATCAACGACACTACGTATTTTGTACAGTGGGTCATCATTCACTATCTCTGTCTCTGTGCTGAAGTGAAGACATCTCATTATTAGGAAATATCTATTTCTACTCATCTGTTGACCAAAAATAGGTATTGAAAATAACCGGCTCTTTTTCCAGTAATCTTGTAGTCGGGGCAGCTGAAAAGAACCCATGTGGAAAAGTAAGCCAAGGAATATTTTCAGTTCAGGAACGTCCACGTCCTTCCAATTAGTTATTCTTGATGATTCCGAAACACCGAAAAGAAATAACTTTCTGGCTTGAGCATTAGTTTTTTCACAAATCATTGCAAGGAAATCATCTTCAAAGAAGAAATTGAAAAATGCGATTGGAGTTGGGTCAGGCGCGCCAAAGAACTCATTTTGTTTAGTGAAATCAATTTTTTTTAGCTCACATGTCGTTGTCCATGAAGAAGTAGCTCCTTCCTCAGGTAGTGCTAATCTTTCTGGTTGTTGTATTGCTTCTAATGACGGACTCCTTCGACGAGTACGTTGCGACGCTAATTGTAAATCCATAGCCGCCATTTGCATAATAATTTGCCGCTCGATTTCCTCTTCATCATCATCTGATGACATGTCCTCAAGCTGGAAGTCATCATCAGAGTCGTTGCCCAAAAGCTGCTCTTCAATATCACTATCAGTTATCTTATAAACTGGCTCCATTTTCTTTCGTTTCGGCCGCGAGGGACCCGGTTGATCACTCATAATTGAACGCTAATTTCTTCAAATTAAAATTAAATTTTTTAAAACCACAACTTGCACAACAATTTTGCAACATTCAAGCGCAGTGCCAACCTATAAACGTGGTGTCAAGAGCTGTGCCGGATGCGTACTGAGGCATACAAACTGAGCGGTGCTACTCCGCTAATTTGCGGGGTCGGCACCCCGCGCTCAGCCCGCCCCCCGCAAATATGCGGAGTTGGCACTGAAGTTGATATCCCCCACTCAACTCTCGTTCGCCTCGCCCGATCACACCGACCCCAAGTCTAGCGTGCGTTAGAAGTTTTACTTCAATAATGTTAGAATCTACTAGCAGCTTATGATTATTAACCATCACCTGTTTTATTTACGTTAACGTATGTTTAACGTTTAATTTTAACTTCAGTAAAATAAGTTTCATTCAATGTTTATCTAATTATGTCGCGTCAATATCGCGAATCATTAAACGTTTTTTAATTTATTTACAGTTATACTATTGACTATATTATTTATTTATTTATTCTTTTTTGTACACCACAATACAGAAACATCGAGTACAGTTAAAACTAAATTAAAGTATGTACAATAGGCGGTCTTATCACTCTGAAAGTGATTTCTTCCAGACAACCTATGCGTAGAGGAATGATGCAAACAAAAGTTAAAATGGAGGAATAATAAAAAAATATAATAATACATACAAATAAAGATAAGTGAAAATTATATATAAAATATCATATAATAGATTAAGTGAAAAGAGTACTAGAAAGGTAAAGTAATTTATCTAATAGCGTTCTAAATAATACGATTTAACAAGACTTTTGAAAGAGTGAAGAGATTTAGCACGACGAATATGGAGAAGTAAGGAGTTCCACAATCGCATAGCAGTTACGGTGAAGGATTTCTTGAAAAAGGAAGAAGAATGCAAAGGTGTAGAGAGAGAAAGATTGACGGAGGATCGAAGGAACCGATTATGGATAAGAGAAAGATACTGAAAACGGTTTTTTAAATAAAGAGGAGTGGAAGGATTAAACAGCACGCTATACAACGCGGAGAGAATGTGAGTATTCCTGCGAAGGTGGATCGGGAGCCATTTGAGCTGTTTACAAAATTCGGAGATATGATCATATTTGCGAAGCCCAAATATATATCTAATGCATAAATTTTGAATGCACTCAAGCTTATTAAGCTGCTCCTCGGTAATGTCAAGATAGCAAATTTCAGCATAGTCAAGGATAGGCAGAAATAGAGACTGGGCGAGCGTAACTTTAGTTGCTGTGGGAAGAAAATTACGTAATCTACGTAAAGAGCTTAACGCAGCAAACATTTTTCTACTGACCTCATTAACCTGTGGTCCAAGACATATAGGAGTCAAGATACAACCCCAGGTTTTTAACCTTGTTACTGTAAGGGATTAGAGTGCAGTCTAGTATAATAGGGGGTAGGGAAGACCAGTCAATTTTACCAATTAATCTAGAACTACCAATGACAATGACCTGAGTTTTCTTAGGATTAATCGTTAAACCATAACATTTACTCCAATTCGAAATACAAGTCAGATCAGCGTTAATAGTGTCAACTGCTTTAGATAGATCTTCAAGAGAGGACTGAGTATAGATTTGGAGATCATCAGCGTACAAGTGGTAGGAAGAGGACAAATTATGACTTAGAGAGATATTATATGCATGAAATGAAATCATTATTCATTCAAAATTCATTGTAACTTGTTTATCTTACCTTTCTTACATTTTTCATATTTGAGGTTTGAGATATTTTTTTCGCATTTTTTTCACTTACACGAAAAACTATTACAGAACTGAATACAGAATTCAACTCATTTTATACGTATCGTACGTTAAAAAATAATAGGCCAACAAGTAAAAACAGGGTACCTAATAGTTGTTAATAAGACATTTATTTGATTTGAGTGTTGCACGCCCAACTAAGTATCCTAATAATATAAACATACATTAAAGCTGATTAATGATGAAAATTAATAGGAAAAATTAATAGAATTTTCATAGATTATTTAAACAGAAACACCAAGCATCCTCCTAAAAACCCTATAATTCCTACACTAGAGGTGGTGAAACCGATCCACAAGGACGTTAAAATACTACCTTTTACAGTCTGAAGTAGAGATGAAACGGATAGCTGTTTGGCCGGATACCGGATATTCAGCCGGTCTTATCGCTAGAAAGCCGGATATCCGGCCGCCGTCAGTCAGTGCACTCTATATATATTTGGAGGCCCGGTATTGCTACACAATACCCAAATTTATAAAAGTTTGCCAAAATCTATCTTTCAGCACCCTGCAGCAGTGTGTACAGCGAAAGACTTTTCTTGAACGGGGCCTTGTTAATGAAGACAGGCGAAACCGCTTTTACCTTTCAATGCAGGGAAATTAGTACTTATTCACCATAGTTTGCCCTTAGCTACGTAGTACTATTATTTATTGTAGTATGTACTAACTTTGTAAGCTTTAAAATGAGAATTTTGTGATTACTTATTAAATGAAGTACTTAACTAAATTTGATATTCTGTTGATTTTTTTAATCCGTATCCGGCCGGGTAGCTGTATGTTATTCGGTATCCGGTCACATAGTAATTTTAGGCCGGAAATGCTGAATACCGGATAGTTATCGGGTATTCGTTTCGTCTCTAGTCTGAAGTCATCTCCAAAAACGCTTATAATTAATATATTTAAGACTAAAAATGGTAAAGCAAATTATCCAAAACTACATAAAATTATACTAACACAAAAAATATAAGTTTTTTTATACTTTCCTTACGACAAAAACAATTTATGCTAAGCATGCGTTGAAATCTGAAATGAAATCATCTTGGAGTATTATACATAAGCAAGAAAAACATCTAATTTCAGGCATTTTAAAAGTTTATATACCTAAATAGGGCGTCCCTGAGCAACCACGTAGTATGAAAGGTATTCAAAACAGTGATAGCTATCGAACAAGGATTGTTTAATCAATTTCTGCATAATGTACGTATTCAATTTAAATAATACAACCTACATATTAACTCTCCCGTTAAAAGGCAATCTAGCCTAGATCATTTGTGACGACGGTTAATGATGAACCATGGTGATACGAATTTGCTTTTGTTTAAAAATGTAAAGTATACTAAAGTTGTAGCCCTTATAAGTCCAACAGCTGGTCACAGACCCATGCGGGATTTAAGGTCAAGGAAGTGTGCGCTGCGCTATCTCATACATATTACGGACTTTACATGACTTCGAAATACTTTCTTTTATTTCTGATACAATCGGGTTTTTTCACAATGTCTTTCTTCATCGCCGATTACCTAAACGGTAAAATGTGTGTGACTTTATTTTTTAAGGTTTAGTTAGACAACATTATTTAAGAAAAGACCGTCCTTTTACAGGTTTTATATAGCCTTTTTCACAAAAAAGTGACCCCTAGATATTTGGCAGTAGTTTTATTACGTGCTAGAGCCATGATGTAGGTATCTCATGGTTGTTGCACGAATGAGTCAGCTCGATCGAGGAAGGACCACGCTCTCACAGAATACCATCGAAAAACAGCGCCTAAATGGTGCTGTGTTTCATATGTTTAGTGTAGAGAACCGGACACCCTTTTTACTGGATACGAGGCCTTTCATCTTGGTCCTCATGGATGACACGAGGCATCTGCACTTTGATCTTTAATCAAGGTTTACCATCAGGTGGGCTTTGTGCTCGTTTGTCACCCTGATTCCCTGATATAGATTCTATATGGTTTAGTTTCACCCCCTTTCGGGGGGTGAAACTAAACCATATAGAATCTAATATATATATATATATATATATATATATATATATATATATATATATATATATATAGATTCTATGTGGTTTAGTTTCACCCCCTTTCGGGATTGCACTTTACCGATGGACACTCTATATAAATGAATATTAATATTAACCTTATTGTTATATATTGCATTTACATATTTTTATACAATGTTATAGATTTAATATGTGTTGATCTCTGAGGGCAATATATATATATATATATATATATATATATAGATTCTATATGGTTTAGTTTCACCCCCTTTCGGGGTTGCACTTTACCGATGGACACTATGAATATGAATATATATATATATATATAT